CAATCAACCAGACGTGCTTTTGGTTCATGTTCAACAGAAGTAGAAACTTGACCATGCTGCTTCATCTTTCTTTGAAAATCTGGGTTAAGGCGAAGGGGAAATGTCGGAATGTCAGAAAAAGAAAAAAACAATCCAAAGCTCAGCTAAACCACACAGATATCTTGCTGAGGAAAATGAAATAAAACATGTGTTGGAAGACCCAGCCACATTTCATCTTCAAAGCTCTCACTGATGGAAGGAGGTTTTGGCTCAGAATCTCACGATACATGGCCCCATTCATTCTGTCCTTAACACGGATCAGTCGTCCTGTCCCCTTAGCAGAAAAACAGCCCCAAAGCATGATGTTCCCACCCCCATGCTTCACAGTAGGTATGGTGTTCTTGGGATGCAACTCAGTATTCTTCTTCCTCCAAACACGACGAGTTGAGTTTATACCAAAAAGTTCTACTTTGGTTTCATCTGACCACATGACATTCTCCCAATCCTCTGCTGTATCATCCATGTGCTCTCTGGCAAACTTCAGACGGGCCTGGACATGCACTGGCTTCAGCAGCGGAACACGTCTGGCACTGCAGGATTTGATTCCCTGCCGTTGTAGTGTGTTACTGATGGTGACCTTTGTTACTGTGGTCCCAGCTCTCTGCAGGTCATTCACCAGGTCCCCCCGTGTGGTTCTGGGATTCTTGCTCACCGTTCTCATGATCATTTTGACCCCACGGGATGAGATCTTGCGTGGAGCCCCAGATCGAGGGAGATTATCAGTGGTCTTGTATGTCTTCCATTTTCTGATAATCGCTCCCACAGTTGATTTTTTCATACCAAGCTGCTTGCCTATTGTAGATTCACTCTTCCCAGTCTGGTGCAGGTCTACAATTCTTTTCCCAGTGTCCTTCGAAAGCTCTTTGGTCTTGGCCATAGTGGAGTTTGGAGTCTGACTGTTTGAGGCTGTGGACGGGTGTCTTTTTACAGATAGTGTGTTCAAACAGGTGCCATTAATACAGGTAACGAGTGGAGGACAGAAAAGCTTCTTAAAGAAGAAGTTACAGGTCTGTGAGAGCCAGAGATTTTCCTTGTTTGAAGTGACCAAATACTTATTTTCCACCCTGATTTACAAATAAATTCTTTAAAAATCCTGCCATGTGAATTCATGGATTTTTTTTTCACATTCTGTCTCTCATAGTTGAAGTGTACCTATGATGTAAATTACTGACCTCTGTCATCATTTTAAGTGGGAGAACTTGCACAATCGGTGACTGACTAAATACTGTATATTGTGCAGCCCTATCTAAACATTAAACAAGAACCAGTTTCTGAACAGAACATGTAAAAAAAAAAAGAAAAATATAACTCCTTTGATCAGTCAGTCTGATCCACTAGACAGCCCGGTTCTGGTTTTTCTTTCTGCTCCGCTGCTTTGCTCCGAGTCAAGAACGAGAACGAGGCCCTCAGATGATCAGTTTGATGCAAGGATTATGGTCCAATCCCTAATAATGGGACATTCACACAGATTGGATGAAGGTTTTCCAGGATTGTATGTTTCAGAAGTTATTAAACAAATCATTTTTTGACCAAACATTTAATTTATTAGTTGCAATCTGTATACAAAGTGTACTTAAACTCCCAAGGCAGTAATTTTTACCGTTTTACCACACAACCGGCATGAGGACCAGGGGATCTTTACAGTAATTAAACAAAAAAATATATATAAAACTACAGTCAAGAGACTCTTTTATGCAATGTCAGGAATGCAGAATTGTCAAGTACACAGGTGAGATGAACGGCCAATCACACATTAGCAAGTATCAGCAGAGCCAATAGATGGGTTTCTGAATGGTTCTGATAAGAAACTGCCTTCAACACAAGCGATTTGCTTGGTTTTAGTGCTCAACCAGTGACTATTTAACATGGCATCATATTGTTTTTGGATGGTAAAAAAATTAGGGGACAAAAATTTACTCTATTAAAAAGTGAAAATACGTTGATGATTAGATGGATCTCATGTTGTCCTGACTTTTCCTTTTTATGTGAGTCCTTTGTTTCCATGTAATTTCCATAAAATAACGTATCAAAGAAGAAAACTGGTTGTCTTTCTCAAGGGTGTCAGTTTGTTTTCAGAATTGCTGGGGACAATAACCATACACTTGAGTGGGGTTTAAAAATTGCTGGGCGCTTTCTGAGCTGCTTTCTGACCTTCCCCACCTACAAAGTTTAATTACAACAATCAAACGTGACAGAGCCTGGATTTGTATTCTGAACAGTCTAACATGTTTTAAAAAGAAACGTATGACAAAAGTGGCACCTGCTCAGTAAAACCATCAATAGGGTGAAAAATACCAAAAATTGAAGGCAGAGACGGGCTACAACTTCTGGATCCACTTTATATAAATCGTTTTATTGATTATCGTCTTATGAAAGATAACTTTGACGTACACGAGCGATCAGGCGCGTTGCAAGCTTTTCAAAAGTGTGGGGGATGTTGTCTGTGCCTAAAATAAGTTCATGTTATTCATCTTGTTAGTGTAATTTCCATAATAGCGGAGCAGGTGCGAATTTTAGACGCGTCACGCACGTCTCCGCTTTAAACATGTTTAAACTGTTCAGAATACAAATCCAGGCTCTGTCTCGTTAGATTGGTGTAACTAAAGTTTGTACTGAATGAAACTTTACATTAAACCATGTTGAAGAGAAAAGGATCCGATTAAATCGTTTCCCCTCATTTACAGTCATGGAGTACAGTGCAGTGCGCACGGCTCTGGGGTTAATCAAGTTTAATTGTAACATTAATGTGTTACTGGACACGCTGGTCTGGTTGGTTAGACCAGTGTTTGAAGTGGAGAAAACACACACACACACACACACACACACACACCAATTAAAATAATGCTGATAGCATGGACTAGAAGACAGGTGATGGTTTATGTATTTAAATGATGATCAGGCTGCTGTAAAATGTAATCTCCATCCATATCCAGACACAATTATCATCTATTCTTTCTCTATTTGCTCTGCTCTTGTCTGGGCTTACATAGATGACGGAGCGCGCGGCGCGCCTAACTAGCGGCTGTGATGCACATTTTATGCATTTGGAGAGGTGGGCTGGATGCTTTGCTTTTACTGGACGATGGTCCACTTCACGCACGGGTGTAGACTACATATTAATGACAAATGAATGAAAATTAAATAATAAAAATGACGGGGAAAACATTTATGACGTCTTTTTAAACGAAATTTTCTAGTGCGACCTGCCTGCTTCACTAAGTCACTGCTTATTAAGGTCCGTCCAAAATTACCGTGGACCACCCAAAAATGAGAACCTGGCGCCGCCCCTGTTATAAACCTCTGCAAATGGTTGTTCTTCACTTTATCAAACTCAGACTTTGTACAGCTAATGTCAAGATGTAAAATTATGAATTCAGTCGAGCTCTTCCGTCCCTCCCTCTCCTGCTGTCCTTGAACCCGACATCGGCTGTCAGAAGCGGGAGGTGAAGAAGGAGATGAGGCAAACAGAGTGAGTGCGACGTAAAGAAACCAGACTGGTGTGGAGGTGAGCAAAACAGCTGGAAACATGTGGATGTTGAATCCCCCACGGGTGCGACGTCCATGCGAGCGACCGGTACCGGCTGCTGTCACCTGTTGTGAGCAGCTCTCTGCTGTCTGATGGTAGGCCCCGCCCACAACGCTGCGGCTGCTGCGGTGTTTTCTTTACTGTGGGAAATGGGTAATAATGGCTCTTTGATGGGAACAGGTTGCCGACCCCTGGTATAAGATCTGAGCTGGTAAAACAAAAATCCTCATCAGCAGGCTTTTTTGAAAGTGGGGGGGACACAGTTGCCAATCACAAATTTTGCCGGGGATATGTCCCCGGCGTCCCCGGTTAAAATGACACCTATGGTCTTTCTCTCCAACTAGCCGTCAGCCTGACGGCTTTATTGTTTGCATGGTAAATTTTTCCCGTGGATAACAGAAGTCGCCATTGCTAAGCAATCAACTTTCCAGCTCGCGCACTCACTCTTTGTTCATATTTCGTGTAAAATAGCAGCTAAAAAGACTTTTAGAAGAACGCTCTCAGTGAAACAAGCATTAGAAATTATGCTGATTCATGCAGAGAGGAGTCAGCGGATGAAAGCTGGTCAGTAGGAAGTGACTCTGACAGCAACGTGGACGATGATCTTAAACATACCCCCGCGGAAAGAAGCTGCATCAATGAACAGCAGTCCAGCATAGCTGGGAGACGCTCACAGGAAGCTGGAAGGGGCCTCACGCACTCACTCACTCAACGATTATGTCATTTTGTTCAAATTGGTCATTTAACTTCTGTCATCAAGTAAAACTTTGGGTGTTTTTGACCAGTCCAAGTCTCTTGAAGGCAATTCAAAAAGTCTGGTCCAAAACGGTTTTAATCATTTAAAGGTATAAAGTCAGTTTTGATGTTCTTGAGCTGCATCGCCGTTTCTATCTAGAAAAAAAATAAAATCTCAGTCACGCTTAAGTTTTTGTGTTCTCATGTTTGTTGTTAATGACATGCCATTTCATGCTAATTGTAAAGCACACTGAATGGCCCTGTGTTTGATGTGCTATACTATATAAATAAACATGCCTTGCCTTTGTGACGGTGTGAGCGTCCGGTCACTGTGACCTGACTGATCATGCGCCCTGGCTACTTGGTCAGGGGGATGTCTCTCTGCTGACTGGTTAGCGTGCATGACTCTGACCCAGGAGTCTGGGGATCGAATCCCACCCAGGTGTCACGCGAGGGTACACAGGAATAAACCCAAATGCAGGAGGCAGGATGACTCGATCCAGTTCTGAGTTCTTTTAATAACAAAAAATCACCACATAAGTGGGGAAAAAGGACTTAACAGGTTTTACTTGAAACAAAAACTACTAATGATCAGGGATGTGTATTGTTGAAATTCTGGCGATACGATACATATCACGATACGGGAAGACGATACGATATATCACGATATATTGCGATACATTCAGTCAAACGTTACAAGCAATTTTTTTACTGAATTTATTGTAAGAATGTTCAATAAACAGTCCAAACTGATACGTAACATGTTTAACATGAGGTATCTGAACCATGATGGGGGGATTTACATTTCAATGGTGGAAACAAAACCGTTGCACACTGCTGCCAACTAGCGGTTGGCGATTGAATTGCACAAAACGAAAAGAAAATACACAAATGTTTGTATGTAAATTCTTTCAAAAATCAGATACACAGCTTTTGAATATCGATGTAATAATCGCAGGGAAAAAATATCACGATATATTGCCATATCAGTATTTCCGATACACGGCTTTTGAATATTGATATAATATATCTGGAAAAAATATCACGATATATTGCCATATCGATATTTTCTTACATCCCTACTAATGATGTTCCACAGACTCGAAGCAACACTACACAACAACGCCACACCATGCACTGGGAACAGCTGCTTAAATACATGGTGTGGCAATCAGGATATTGCAGTCAGCTGTGGCACTCCCCGGTGCACCACAGAGGGGTAGGAGCTGCAGGAAGAGCCACAGCCAACGTGCACAGAGAAGAAACACAAATTAAGATCAATCAAGAGGTGTAGACCATAACACCGGGCCCTCGTTTCTCCACGTTGCCACACCTTGCTGCCTTAAGAAACCCATCAGTGATGGTGGAAGCAGAGTTAAATAAAACCAAAAAGGAATGACTTGTTTCTTCACCTTGTAGTTCTTTACTTTGATTGGAACTCACAAATAAAACGTTGAAGGTCGTGGTGTGTCCGTCTCAGAGTTGTTGGTTTTTTTCTGACAGCGTGTTGCTTCTATTTTTAATTCATTCCAGATGTGTGTTAAAGCTGATCTTCATGCTGGTCCTCACAGCAACAGAGCATCACAAAAACACCCATTAATGCATCATTTTCTCCTGTGTGTGGCCAGAAATCCCATTTAAGTGGTTACAAAGTAAGATTGCAAACTGATAACATTTTCCTTTAATGTGATTTATTTTTCTTTACAATTGAGCTTTTTTAACATAAAGATTTCAGAAGTAAAACACTTGCAGACGTGTTTATATTTAAGAGGAAATCTGTTTCTTCTGGTGATTTGGGCGCCTTTACCAGACAGGACAATAATGGACACATTAGGAGTGCTTATAATAAACTCAGCAAGCACAAGTAACACTTTTACTTTCCTGAGGCGAGTGTGAACGAAGACATAAACTAAATGAGACTCTAATCATAAACTGAGACGTGTCCCTGGGTTATTCCCTCAACAAATAATATTCAAAATGCATCTAGAACTTTTTTCAGAGGTTTTTTGTTTTGTTTTGTTTCCTTATTTCAGAACTTTTTTTACACTTGAAATGTTTAATCTGAATAATATAAAATATTAGTTGATTAGATAATTAGATATAGATCTATGATTAGATAGACTGAATTTACTCTCCTGAAACTACTGAACTAAATACACGTTAGCAACATTTTAAAGAGCAAGTCACCTCCAAATCACATTTTTTTTTGCTGATAAACTATATAAAGGAGTGTCTAATCATGCTACAGACACGTGTAGTCAATAATTTGGCAGTTCAGTGCATCTTGGTTAAAATTCAAATATTCTGCCTAAAACTGTCAGTGTTGCGCCGTCGTCAGGGAAAAATTCTGCACTGTATTTGAATTTAAATCTGCCACCGCTATTGGCTAAGAGGTATGCTATGATGTCATCTGGTATATTATGATGTCATAATGCCATTGTGAGCCTGTGTGTGTGTGTGTGTGTGTGTGTATTTGTTAGCGGCTCCGCCCTCTTGATCTGCCAAGCAACAGCATTTGTTGCATTTTTCAAACATGAAGTGGGAGTGAATTAAGTTTCTTGTAGGGGGTGACTTGCTCTTTAAATAACTTCATTTAGAATCCTAGAAGCCATAAGCTAAGAAACACTCTTATTTCAAAATGTTCCTTTCCTTCTGAGACCGTATTTCTGCTGCTGCCTCATTTCTCAGGGCTCAGTGTTGTAAACAGAGAAGTCAGAGGACATGGTCACCTGCAGTTCCCATGGAAACTGATTGACAGGTCTATTGACTTTGCCCTGTTGACCCCTGGCCTCCTTGAGCATCAGCTGGACATCCTCGTCGTCAAGGATACGGATAAGATCACCCTCTGGGTCGTGGTAGTTCACCGCAATGTCATCCACCTTGAAGACATTTCTGAAAATAAAAATAGAAAAGTAGATCACAGGATAGAGAATTTAGAGCTGGATGGTTCGGCTGAAGAAACGTTATTTGTAATTTGTGATTAATTATGACAACAGCGTAATCAAACTTCAGTTCAACCAAAATGAAAATATTCTAAATATTTCAGATTTTTTCCAAACTTTAACCAAGATTTGACTTCTCGATCATTATGTTTTATATAATAAATACTGTATGTGTTGTAAAAATCTAAATAACAAATATTTAAGGCTGTGGGGGCTGCAGGACCCCTTGAGGGATGGAAACAGTCGAGCCTCGTCATAAAAAAACAATAAAAACAGACGAGAAAGACAAATAAGTTGTAGTCTTTATCCCAATGATTCACTCTGTATTTTAGGCTTAAGCCTGATTCATGCTTCTCCGTCAGCTCCAACAGGGAGACACGCACGCACGGAGACGTTTTGCTCTCATACTCCTCCGTCTCCTGGAGAGTGTTGCAAAGCAATTCCCCACCAAGACAGCAGAGGGCGTAGCGCTGTTCTGTGGTATCCTGTCATGTGTCCGGTCCAAGATAGTGTGTTTATATTGTGTTTTTTGTATATAAGAGACTTTTTAACAGACGAATTTGTCTCTCATTCTCCTCCACCTCTTCATGAGCTCGCCACCTCTAAACCCACGTTTCCTGTCATTTCCGTCCACAAATAAAACGCTTGCTGAGCATCTTTTCACTCCTCCAGTCACGGGGGAATTAAACGTTCATGTTTTTAGTTTTTTCGCGAGGTATTCTTCAAGCTGCTCCCGTGTCTGCTGCTAGTTATCCTCGGCTCTCTTTATGTTTTTGAGGGCGCAATGGCGACGGTATAGACGACAGCAGCGTCCTGACCAATCACAAGCTTGCGTTGTCCATCTCGACTGACGGATGTTTAGAAAAGAGAGCTTGACTCCGTGCGTCCTTGCGGAGCTCTACAGCAGGCCCGCAAGGACGGATAACGGCGTTGCGTGTCTCCGCACTGACGCCGACGGGGAAGCATGACTCAGGCTTAAAAGACTCAGAAACAAATGAGGTTTTCTTACAAATCCAGCAAAAAACTACCTAAAACCACCATCATCATCATGAGCTCAGAAACTAAACACCTAAGAGCTAACTACTGTTAAAGATAATTAATCTACATGTAGCTAAGCTGAGCCGCCCAGTGTCACAGATTAACTGTCCCATTCTGTTTGTAAATCTCATTTAAGGAGCGGTTCTCCATGTTCGTTTAGGTGATGGAGTTGTTGTCTGGGAACGCAGTGAAAAGTCTCAACTCTGAAGCGCGTGGGAAGAGGATCGATTCAGTTCAGAGTTGGCTCTGGACGTTTGGACCTCACCAGCGGCTCAGTCAGCCCTGTCAGCAGAGCTATTTGTTTAGTGTGTGTCACAAGCTGGTGTTAGATCATTTTCTCCAACCATCAGATTCTGTGATTCTACGTGGGAAGCATGGAGAAAGCAAAAAGACCTGATTGGACTCTTTCTTCAGCTTGACAGCATGATCTCTGACCACCGGTGTCCACCAGCGGGGTTGGGGTTGCCGACAGGCACCAACGACCCAGTGGCCATAGCTCCGGTCAGGAGACGTGGTCCACTCTGACTCAATGTCCCCCGCCTCCCCCAAGACGCGATTGAAATTCTGTCTGAGGAGGGAACTGAAGCCGATTCTGACAGGAGACTCCACAAGACGTTCCCAGCAGACCCTCACAATACATTTAGGCATGCCAGGTCTGACCAGCATCCACGCATCTCTTCATCCAAGTATCCAAGACACACAGCCGCAGATCAGATGACATGACAACAAAGCTCATTATCGAACTGCGGCCTAAGGTCTCCTGGTGCCAGGAGCACATTTGGACACCTCCAAGACTGTTTATTTCCAAAAACATAAAACGAAATGAAAAAACGATCCCATCCGCTGAATCATCACCTTAACCTGATGGATGGGTTTGCGTGCTGCCACGATCCTGAAGGCTGGTTTGTCAGGGTGTGAGCTCCAGATGGGATCTCCTCAGGTGAGGGGTCGGACTAAGAATGACTAAAAGATGTATTTGATACATAATTGATAAATAGTAAAATTGTCTTTTTGGCACTCACACATCAATTCTGATTACTTTACAGTCGGACCAAACATGGGAAAAGGAGCCTTTTACACAAAGATCTCTCTCTTTTGGAAACTTGATTCGCTGCTGGTAGTTACTAGCCTGGCAAGCCAGACTAAATAAATGTATTATTTAGTCTGGCCACGCTCCATTGACGGCTCTCGGTTGTGGGGCGGGTTCTACCGTTGTCTTTCAAATGATCTCCGCATTCCACTGGACAATGAATGTGACATCCTCTTGTTTCACTCTGTTGCATCATCCCACCCACCAGGCATATAGAGTGCCCTGATTGGCCCACAAAGCGGATAAAGCTCTGTGATTTGTTCACTAAGCAGATAGAGCACTATGATTGGCCCACCATTATGGACCAATCACAGCTCTTTATGTGTTTGAAACCCCTCTAGAGAGCTGTGATTGGCTAGCCAGAATCCTGGTAGGAGCTGCTGATGTTCCAATGGAGCGTGTCTAGACCAAACTATGCAAAGCAAGAATTTGGTCTAGTTCACTAGGCTAGGTAGTTACGGCTTCTTCATTTGAAAAAGAACAAAATTGCCTGCCATCTCCTCAGTTCATCAACCACCCCTCGATCTCTATTGCCTGCTCAATCCCCCCCCCCCCCCTCACACACACACACACACACAGACATACACACACTTTCAATTAGTGCATTGCCATATTAAAACTCACAACCAGTCTTATCCAGTTGACTGAGGCACAATAGTCCTGATCACAGAGACAATAATAAACGGAGGAAATGAGTTTATTATAGTTGTGCAACGCTCATTCAAATGAGTAAATATTGGGAGATGAAGGAAAAGTGAATGAAAACAAGAACAGATCTGGTGACAGCGCTAAAGGCAAAAAGGGATGAGGAGACAGCAGAAGATCACAGGGGAACTAATCTGGTTGATGGTTTTGGAGTTTATAGTAACTAAATCTAAAGTTCTGTCCAAACCAGCTTCACTGCTTCCTCTACAATAATTATCTCACATCAAAGAGTCACCTGAGTCACTCTCTACCTAGTCATTCATTCACCATCAAAATATTTCATCATTTGTCAGAATACCAGAGCAGCACAGCAGTCTGACATCTTCTGTAACTTTTCAAATTCAGCCGTTTTAAACATGCAAAAGAACATTTGTTCCTATTATTTTAATAAGAGTAATCTGAGATTTGGTCACAGAAAACAGGTTGTTAAATAGTGTGATGCCATCAGGGAGGAATTTTTAGAAGCCAGTCTGCAAAATTCAGACTTAATTCATCTATTCATTAACATATGAAAATGCATCAAATGTACCGGATTTCTTATCTCTAGTTTCTTTCTCTCTGCCAATCTTACACATTGTTGTTGGGTGACTTTATGCCCCTCCTGCAGTGCGGTTAGCACAGCCAATAAGAAAAAGACAGACTTTTACTAAAAGCATATAAAAAGGCATGGGCGTGAGTGCGTGTGAGAGACATTTCCACTGTAACATTCCAGGTTTCCATCAAATATGTCATTATCACATCTCTGGAAGGTGTCATAATTTGCTCACAAGTTGTGAGGTCGCACACAACCTTTTCCCTTGTGCTCAGATAAAAAAAATCATCAAATCTTATAGGCTTTGTTGCTTCGCATCTGGGTGTGAAGGCATTAAAACCGTGAAATCAAACACACCGTTTAATGCCTTTGCTCTGTCCCTGTAAAAATGGCACAAATGTAAAAAAAAAATCCAAAAACAGAAAAAAGGAAATGTACCTCATACGAGACAGCAGGTCCTTGTACGTTGGCTGGATGTTGAGGTCCTCTTGGACACACACATCCCTATAATTGAAGCATATTGATGAAATCATTGGAGATTTTCGGCCATGTTTTTATGGTTTACTTGCTTATATTTAATTCCCTTTGATATTAATCAAATAAGCGTACAGCCAGGACAAAACTTTATGTTCCATGTGACACACAGAGCAAGTCGTAAACACACATCAGACCTAGTTTCAATTCCTGACGGGGTGAGCAGGAAGCAGCGCAGGCAGCTGTAGGTGTGGCCACCGTTTTCACCTTCTGAGTCGCTGTCTGGAAGGGGTTTAATAATCTTCACAAAGGATTCTGGGAAAATTCCCGTTTGATTGTTCACCGTACCCTGAAGAAAGCCAGACAAAAAAGAAAAATGGATATGAAGAAGGAGGTCTCGGAGGATGGAGTGATGATATGAGTCGGAGAGGAAAGCAGCTCGGAAAAGAGACTCAGGAGAGACGTTTTCTGGTATAATTAGTCAGTTTCTAATGTGCTGCTGGAGTTGGAAGCACTCAACACAATCATACAGCCTTTTTTAACACACCCATGGTGTTTGAGAGTATGAAGCTGCGGAAACGATTCAAAAGGCTTTCACACATTTATAATAAACTCCAACAGGTTAAAGTCTACTTATATCAACACTGGTGAAACATCCAGTATAACAAGTACTGCAGGCTGGAACTGAGTCTCATTAACTTTACAAAAAAAAAAAAAACTAATAAACTACTGCAACTCTAAGTTATCAGCTCTCAGTCTAACAAAACATATATAATGCAGAGAAAATATTGTTTTGAAAGTTGCATCTTTGTATGAAGAAGGTTTTGGAGGCACAGGTCAGTACAAAGTTTACATATTTGCAGAGCATGTGAGAAGTCCACTGATGTCCATTAGGACTTTAGATTTTATTTCATATTTATTTACTTTAAGCTTTGGTGTTTAGTAAAGAATAGAGAATTCAAAAGGAATCCCACAAGGCTCAAATGTAGGCCATGCTTTATTTTTCACTTTTGTCAAAAACAGAGTTAGCATGTTCACAGCTAATGTATGCAGGTCACACCATACTTTATTCATTTGGCTCTACTTTGGAACCGGCTGTGGAGGAGCTTCAAACAGCAGCTCCAAGAAACACCATCCATCCATTTTCCTCCTTTTCCGTGGTCGAGTCGCGGGGCAGCAGCTTAAGCAGAGGCCCGCTTCCAACTTCCCTCTCCCTAGCCGCTTGGGTCAGCTTCTCCAGGGGAATCCCAAAGGCGTTCCCTGGCCAGCTGAATAACAAAAAGCGTGTTTCCATCGACAGAACGTCAGGGTAAATTGTGGGAGGGGGAAATTGATGGAGCTTTTGTGTCTCCATACCAATTCGGCCCTTTTAGGACTTTGCACTGTCAGCCTATCACGACTGCTTTGGCAGGGAGTGATGTCACTGATCAGCACCAAAAAGTGTCCACAGTAAAATGGTAAATGGCCTGTATTTGATATAGCGCCTTCTAGAGTCCTGGAACCCCCCAAGGCGCTTTACAACACAATCAGTCATTCACCCATTCACACACTGGTGGGGATGAGCTACGATGTAGCCACAGCTGCCCTGGGGCGCACTGACAGAGGCGAGGCTGCCGAGCACTGGCGCCACCGGTCCCTCCGACCACCACCAGCAGGCAAGGTGGGTTAAGTGTCTTGCCCAAGGACACAACGACAGCGACAGACTGAGCGGGGCTCGAACCTGCAACCTTCCGATTACGGGGCGAGCACTTAACTCCTATGCCACCATCGCCCCATAGTACCGTCAAAAGTTTTATTCTGTCAAAGTTCAGCATAATTTTATCTTTTCGGAGGAAAATGAGGTGTTCAATGACCAGAAGAAACGTAGTTTTATTACGTGTGAGACAACAAAGCCCCGTGAATTACATGATGTGGGGGGGGGGGGGGTCCTCTGCATTTTTCATTGTTAGGAGTGAACGACAATTTTAAAGCAATCTGTGCTTATTTTCTTTTGCTTCCATTCTTCTTCACAAGCAACTCTTCTAATTTTACTAATGCTGGTTGTTCTTGAAGGAATCTGCTGATGTCGTTTCCTACTGGGTTACAACCAATCGGTTTGAGTTAAACAAAAGTTTTGCTCAGCAACTCCACCATCAGGTACTCCGAAAGTTCCTGAAAACAGTTCCTAATGGGAATAAAACCAAAGTAAGGCTATTTCCCAATAATAACCTCCAGATCAGCACAAAAGTTTCCATAAATTCTGGGTATTTGACCATTGAGCATTTCACGAACTAAGTCAAGGTTAAATGTTGCTTTAAGTGTCAAAAAAGGGCCTGTTTTAACAAATCAATCCAGTAAAAATGTTTCAGGCGTCGTCGTCGTCGTTGTCGTCGTCGTCTTCCTCCGCTTATCCGGGTCCGGGTCGCGGGGGCAGCATCCCAATTAGGGAGCTCCAGGCCGTCCTCTCCCCGGCCTTGTCCACCAGCTCCTCCGGCAGGACCCCAAGGCGTTCCCGGACCAGATTGGAGATGTAACCTCTCCAACGTGTCCTGGGTCGACCCGGGGGCCTTCTGCCGGCAGGACATGCCCGAAACACCTCCCCGGGGAGGCGTCCAGGAGGCATCCTGACCAGATGCCCAAACCACCTCAACTGGCTCCTTTCGATCCGGAGGAGCAGCGGTTCTACTCCGAGTCCCTCCCGAATGTCCGAGCTCCTCACCCTATCTCTAAGGCTGAGCCCGGCCACCCTACGGAGGAAACTCATTTCGGCCGCTTGTATCCGCGATCTCGTTCTTTCGGTCATTACCCAAAGCTCATGACCATAGGTGAGGATTGGGACGTAGATCGACCGGTAAATCGAGAGCCTGGCTTTCTAGCTCAGCTCCCTCTTCACCACGACAGATCGGCTCAGCGTCCGCATCACTGCAGACGCCGAACCAATCCGCCTGTCGATCTCCCGATCCCTCCTACCCTCACTCGTGAACAAGACCCCGAGATACTTAAACTCCTCCACTTGAGGTAGGACCTCTCCCCCGACCCGGAGGTGGCAAGCCACCCTTTTCCGGTCGAGAACCATGGTCTCAGATTTGGAGGTGCTGATCCTCATCCCAGCCGCTTCACATTCGGCCGCGAACCTACCCAGCAAGAGCTGAAGGTCAGAGCTGGATGAAGCTAGGAGGACCACATCATCCGCAAAAAGCAGAGACGAGATTCTCCTGCCACCAAACTCGACACACTCCACACCACAGCTGCGTCTAGAAATTCTGTCCATAAAAGTGACGAACAGAACCGGTGACAAAGGGCAGCCCTGGCGGAGTCCAACCCTCACTGGGAACAGGTCCGACTTACTACCGGCTATGCGGACCAAACTCACGCTCCTCTGGTAAAGGGACTGAATGGCCCTTAACAGAAAGCCACCCACCCCATACTCCTGGAGCGTCCCCCACAGGGTGCCCCTGGGGACACGGTCATAAGCCTTCTCCAAATCCACAAAGCACATGTGGATTGGTTGGGCAAACTCCCATGCCCCCTCCATCACCCTTGCAAGGGTATAGAGCTGGTCCACAGTTCCACGGCCAGGACGAAAACCACATTGCTCCTCCTCTATCTGAGATTCAACTATCGATCGGACCCTCCTCTCCAGTACCTTGGCGTAGACCTTTCCCGGGAGGCTGAGGAGTGTGATCCCCCTATAGTTGGAACACACCCTCAGGTCACCCTTCTTAAAGATGGGGACCACCACCCCGGTCTGCCACTCCCTAGGAACTGCCCCCGATGACCACGCAATGTTGTAGAGACGTGTCAACCATGACAGCCCTACAACATCCATAGCCTTGAGATACCCAGGACGAACCTCATCCGCCCCCGGGGCTCCGCCGCTGTGTAGTTGTTTGACTACCTCAGCAACTTCTGCCCCCGAGATCGGACAGTCCATCCCCAGGCCTCCCAGCTCTGGTTCCTCCTCGGAATGCGCATTGGTGGGATTGAGGAGCTCCTCAAAGTATTCCTTCCACCGTCCGACTATAGCCTCAGTTGACGTCAGCAGCTCCCCATCCCCACTGTAAACAGTGTGAGCGAGTTGCTGCCTTCCTCTCCTGAGGCGCCGGACAGATTGCCAGAACCTCTTTGGAGCCGATCGATAGTCTTTCTCCATGGCCTCACCAAACTCCTCCCACGCCCGAGATTTTGCCTCGGCAACTGCCACTGCTGCACCCCGCTTGGCTATCCGGTACCTGTCTGCTGCCTCCGGAGACCCACAGACCAGCCACGCCCTGTAGGCCTCCTTCTTCAGCCTGACGGCTCCCCGAACCTCTGGTGTCCACCAGCGGGTACGGGGGTTGCCACCACGACTGGCACCGGCCACCTTACGACCACAGCTAGCAACAGCCGCCTCGACAATCGCAGAGTGGAACAAGGCCCACTCGGACTCAATGTCCCCCACTGCTCTCGGGACGTGGTCAAAGCTCTGCCGGAGGTGGGAGTTGAAGACCGTCTTGACAGGTTCTTCTGCCAGGCGTTCCCAGCAGACCCTCACTATGCGTTTGGGTCTGCCAGGTCTACGCGGCATGTTCCCTTGCCATCTGATCCAACTCACCACCAGGTGGTGATCAGTTGACAGCTCCGCCCCTCTCTTCACTCGGGTGTCCAAAACATACGGCCGCAGGTCAGATGATACGACTACAAAATCTATCATCGACCTGTGACCTAGGCTGCCCTGGTACCAAGTGTACCGGTGGGCATCCTTATGTTCGAACATGGTGTTCGTTATGGCCAAACTGCGGCTTGCACAGAAGTCCAATAACAAAACACCGCTCGAGTTCAGATTAGGTGGGCCGTTCCTCCCAATCACACCCCTCCAGGTCAAGCTGTCATTGCCCACGTGAGCATTGAAGTCCCCCAGCAGGACAATGGAGTCCCCTGATGGAGCACTATCTAGCACTCGTCCCAGGGACTCCAAAAAGGGTGGGTCCTCTGAACTGATATTTGGCCCATAAGCACAAACAACAGTCAGGACCCGTTCCCCGACCCGAAGGCGCAAGGAAGCTACCCTCTTGTCCCCCGGGGTAAACACCAACACACAGGCAGAGAGTCTCGGGGCTAACAAAAAGCCAACCCCAGCCCTCCGCCTCTCACCCGGAGCAACTCCAGCAAAGTAGAGTGTCCAACCCCTCTCCAGGTCTCGGGTTCCAGAGCCAATGCAATGTGTCGAGGTGAGTCCGACTATATCGAGCCGGTACCGCTCAACCTCTGCCACAAGCTCCGGCTCCTTCCCCGCCAGCGAGGTGACGTTCCATGTCCCAAAAACTAGTTTTCTTGTCCGGGGATTGGACCGCCAAGGCTCCCGCCTTGGTCTGCCACCCGATTCGCATTGCACCTGACCCTTCATGTTCCTCCTGCGGGTGGTGGGTCCACAGTTGGACGAGCCCATGTATCCGGTTCGGGCTGGGCCCGGCCGGGACCCATGGGCGAAAGCCCGGCCACCAGGTGCTCGCTCACGGGCCCCAACCCCAGGCCTGGCTCCAGGGTGGGACCCCGGTAACCCTCCGGGCCGGGTACTCCGACTCTTCGTTTTAACCGCCATGAAAGATCCTTCGAACCGTTCTTTGTCTCACCCTTCACCTAAGACCAATTTGTCATGGGAGACCCTACCAGGGGCACTAAGTGCCCCAGACAACATAGCTCCTAGGATCATTAGGGCACTCAAACTCCTCCACCACGATAAGGTGACGGTTCAAGGAGGAGTTTCAGGCAACATTTTAAATGTTGTTTTGACTTTTTTGATAAATTAACTCAATCTGTGCACCATAATTTAGATTATTTTATATAAAATGTGTTAGGAGGTGCCATATAACTAACTCTAAGTGAAGAAAAAAACTTGGAAATGTTCAGTCCTTTTTATATTTGTGGTTCTTTCAGACTTAAGATCACAGAGGACATGAATTTATTTAAATGACTAGTCTGCTATTAAATACACATTTCTGATTAAAACACCACCTTGATGCACCAGCCTGATTAGTTGCATTTCCCACCCACAGGAGCTCCCTGTCCACCAACACTACAGGAACTCAGTTAACCTTTACCAAGTATTTTACGTCTTGCATTAACCTCAGCCACCTAAAACAAAACACTCACTCCTAGAATTAATGCAGAATCACCTAAAATATGGTGTTTCTGTTAAAAAGCGGGAGGATTAATGGACGGTTTTGTGATTTTTGGATCACTTTACAAAGCCTGGGGCAGGTGCAGAGCATCCTCCTCCTCCTCCATGTTGATTCTCATTCTCTCCCACATCAGCTTCTGCCATCTTTTTTCTCTCCCACTCACTTTTCTCAGCATCTCTCATGCACTCTCTTAAAACTTAACACGTTTTTAATAAAACACATTTTGTAACCGTATTTTACTTTTGGCTGACATGAAGCTGATTTTATTCCTTTTAAAAA